AACCGAACCGTGAATTTTGTGTATCGTTGCACCCCTAGTGTACAGGTGTGTGTTTACATGGTTAAGACATCACAAATACCAGATGACATCACATTAAAGTGCACCACCTCAACTACGATTGCTAACAGGCCTGGATGTTTTCAATCAGCTTGGAAACTGCATTTTTCTCAGTTTTCTACCAGCACAAATATGCAGCGAGCAGCACAAATATGCAGCGAGCAGCACAAATATGCAGCGAGCAGCACAAATATGCTCGCTGCATATTTGTGCTGCTCGCTGCTGCTGCATATTTGTCAGCAGCAGCGAGCCACAAGCCTTCCAAAACATCCAGCCCTGCTTCACGAAGTCACGCTATGAGGCCGGGGGCCCAGCTTGTTCAGGGAGATCTGCAATCACCAGGCAGCCTGATAATGTTTCATGATCATGTCATGGAAACGGCCCCTAAAACTGCCTGTTTCTTTTTCCTCTAGGCCCTTTTCTTTGAGCCAGTGTTTTTCTTTGGTTTTACAGGATCCGTATCTTAAATCCTCGGCATGTCACCACTTGAACGCTCGGGCTCCGCGCTCATATTTTGACCAGGACAGTCCCCCTTGATGACCAGAAAAAACTGCTGCTGACTGAAAGGTCAAAACTCATGCAGGAGTCTTGGTTTCAAAGAGTAACACATTTGAGTTTTCTTTCATGATGCAACCCAACACTTCTTCACACAGAGCTTAACTCTGAACTACGAGCTGTATACTCAGCACAACATCTGCCAGCGATGAAGAGCTCTGCATTCCTCTCAGATGTTGATCTGAGTCAGGTATCGACTCCGATCAACATCTGCATCAAACTGAAATCAAAATCAAACATCAAAGCTCCTTCACGTGATCAGGGCTGTCTGCAGACACCTCAATGCATTTTGCCACAGCAATATAAAGAAATGCACAAACACTCTTAGAACATGCAGTGAATGCACTGTTTGTAGTCGCAGTATAAACATGCCACAGTCACTTCCAGCTGCACCATGCAAGAACCGCATTAGCTGCTCAAATGGATGCTTTTCAGAACGACTCAGATTTACCGCTCAGTGATTGAATAATAAACCGTACAACACAGCAATCCATGCTTTTGGCCTCATGATAATAAAATAGTTCAATGTAAGCTTCATATGAACTTTTCTATTACAGGAGTAGCTGCAGCAAAAGCAGGATATTCTGTGTTTGTGGCTGAAACACATTAAAGTCCGTGGATTCAACGCCTTGTTTGGAGATATAACTGTTGACTTGAATAAATGCTGCGGCGCCTGACGGTCTAATCTGATGTTTCCCCGACAAACATCTTTTTTGGCTACAATGTGAACAGCAGCATTTTAAAGCAGCAGCATGGAGCAGTGACCTCATGCTGTAGTACTTAAGCATTTTGCCTTACATGAAAAAGATCTGAGACCAGAACGAAACACAAGCCCACCCTCAGCCAGTGTGCTGGTCCTAAACAAACATCAACAGGAGGCTTCGATTCAGACTGATCTATTTATATATGTTATATATGTTAGTTTTAGAGAAGAAGAAGAAAGTTGTACGGTAAAATCTGAAGTCCTCAAACTCTTGATCGTCTTAGTGCTTAGCTAACTGTGAATGCACTGGGAAAGTCTACAGACACGGGAGCCTGTCTCACCTGTACAGACAGAAAGGTGGAAGAGGAATGCCAGCGCTCATGTGATAACATGTAATATCCATTCACACTGCAAACAGCTGGGCTGACAACAAGCACGCACACTTTTCACACACTGTCTGTTTAAAGTTGCACAGCATTCATAATTTCACTTGGTTTCAAAGATGTCTGTTACTGATAAAATCTGTCTTTGGAATTCACTTTGTGCATTTTTACCTCTACTTCTGTACGACTCCTGAACCAAGAGACGCAGACACCTGGAGATAAGACACTTCATGTCTATTGTTAGAGACAGCAACTTACTCAGCAGTCTGTCAGGAAACAACTCGGCTAAAACGTCTGTCGTACTTAAAGACAGGGATCCTCTGCAGCTGTGTACGACTCACATGTCATTGACTTTCTTCTGACTCATCAGCTTTTCAAAGCCTGCACGTTTAATTAAGGTGCAGCAACTCTTAAAAAGCATTTGAGAAATATTTGAGGCTGTTGTGGGTGTTGCTCGGAGGCAAGGTGGGGTCAGGTTAGCGGCAGTGAGGATGTGCCGTTTCCTAAAACTGGATTCCTGCGTGCTTCTCATTCCTGCCTCAGCTGTCAGATGTAGTTCAGTCACTTCCAGTGCTGGCTTCACTGCGCCCAGTTATCAAGCTTAGTCTACCTTCACTCCCACCTTCGTCTACATTACCTCATTCATACAAGTGTTTGCTTGTATTCATTATCAGTATTTTGGACTTTTGTGTCATTATTACGGTTGAATTAAAAACTCTAGCCTCTATACTGATTTATCGCTCATATATACCTTTCACTGCGTCCACTGTTTCATGCCTACTGAGTCCTACACGTCCCCCTGTTGGACTGACAGGGTTCTAGTGACACAGTGCACCTACATCTCTTTTATTTCCAATTATAAACCACCGTTCTACTACAAGTTGCCCTGACTCAAAGCTTTGCCTGGGCAGACTGCAGGGAGCTGCAGACAGCCTATCTGCAGAGAGCATCTGCTGCCAAACGGAGGCAGTGTCCAAAGTATGTGGTCGAACCGGTCCGTGGGCTGCTCTTCCTCGTGCTGTTGTTGGTCTCTGAGAGCCGAAGAGAACAACTAAATCATATCATGCAAAGAACAGAAGGGAAACTGAGTGTTAAAGACAATGTAAAGTGTGCACTGCAGCCACTGCAGCTGCATGTCATACTGCACTCTTTATCTTTGATGCCTCTTGCATTTCTCCTGATGCTAAGCTTCTTCTCTGTTCAGGTCGGCTTGTCAACCAGCCAGCGTCTGCTCAGTGCAAGGTCGAGGTATGCGCTGTTGGCTTTGTGTGGTTAAACACATTTCTCAACCACAGTATTACTCAACACAAGAGTCGGTAAGACCAGACATATTAGCGTTTACTCTGTGGTACAAAGAGCAGGCTGCCATGTGTTTGTGGCAGCGAATGTGGAGGTCAGAGTGGGCTTATCATCATTTCATTTCTCCACACAGCACTGACATTTCAACAAATCTTTGGATATGCACTTGTGGCTGGTCTTTACCTTTGAAGAAGCTCTTAACCCTCAGATATCCCACGCTGAGACGGAGGACTGACAGCTTGTCCAGGCGAGAGCGCACCTCCTCAGGAAACGGCAGCAGGTCCATCAGCCTGTCAAGCTCCCCGTTCAGCCGATCCCGGTGGCGCTTTGACGGGTTGGATTTAACCACTGCATTGCCCTCACTGACCTTCTTTCTGAGGAATTACAAGAAAAAATCTGGTTAGTGATTTCATGGCAAAATATGAATGAGCCTGGCTAACCGGGGAGCAGCACGGCACATGGATGCACTGAGTCAGCCGTGCATCAGAGCTGCATGTGTTACTAAACCGTGACGAGACAAACTCAGAGCGAGAAATCCAACTCTGATGCTAACATGACACCAGAGGAACATATCTATTGTTCTAAACACCAGAACAAAGCAGACTGGTTTCCCAAGGAAACAATCTTCAGCTCAGGATAAATAGTACAGACAGCAGTTTACAAAACACACGTTTCCACAAGTCATTCGATCAGGAGGAAGACCAGTTTTTAACCACGACACCCGCGGACATCTGTTTGACCACCCATGCTCAAATGCAAAGGGGGAACTCATGAGGCTCACTGGAGATACATGTCATTACTCACAAATCACAAACACATGCTGAACTGGGAGGAAGACCAAGTGTCAGTGAAAGTGAGCGATCAGCACTGTTATCATTCCTTCAGTGAACACCTGCAAACTCACCGCACGAGGAGAAATACCGCCAAATGTTCAGAAAACAACCACCTGCTTAAGTCTACACGGCAGCTCACTCGTGCCAGCATCACCAGATGGAGCAAAAGCGTGAGAAGTCTCAGGAATGACAATCCTGCAGTTCAGACAGTAAAAAACATGAAACCAAATTTGTGACAGATGCTGTTTCAGGTTTCAGCAGCGTAAGCCCAACATGGCCTACGTCACGACACTACGAGTTATAGTCAGTCATGAATGCTACAAAGCTTTTGCTTTATTTATGTGGAAATGATCAAAGACCCTACTCTTATATTTGGTCTTCTTCTACAACACTTTAAACTTGTAACATCCAGAATTAAGATTTTAGATCGTTATATATGTTCACTATTTAAAAACAGCTGTATAATCTCTACATACATGTTTATGTCAGAAAATAAATAACAGCTGAATATCCAGTAATAAAACAGAAACTGTCAGCTTGACAGAAACAATCACTTGATTTATGTTGTGACCATTGAAGCACACACTGACTGATATGGAAACAAATGATCAGGATGACTTCTTCCATGTTCTCCCTCCTACTTCTGTGCTGAACAATAACCTGGGATTTAACTAACCAATGTATTTTAGAGATTGTTCTAAACGGTCTTTCTTGTGATAAATCACATATTTCAGGATTGACACCAGCGTAGTGTCAACTGACCCCCAGCAACTCTAGCCATGAACCATGACTTGATGTGAGTCTGTCTGAAAACCTTAAACTGAGCAGGATTCATTATTAATGAGTAAAAAAATCATGTGTGTGATTGTGTGGATGACTGAATGTAGTGTAAAGTGCTACACAAATGCAGGCCATTTACCATTTTACAAAACTTCCACAATAATATTACGACAGGTTAAACTAGGGTTTGCCTTAAGCTGCATCCACACTCATGGCAACAGACTCATGGCGAGTCACATTTCAGGCTCTGGTTGCCCGGTTTGCTACCAGGTCATGTCTCAATCAGTGGTATTCATTACTCTCATTACTCGTCACTTTTTTCAGCTTCCCGTCCACTTCCTGATGCCGGCAGTTATTCACTTGGAGTTGTGCTGTCTACCAACCAAGGTTATCTCTTCTGCTGATTCAACAGTTTCTACATCTCCTACAGGAAATGGTAAATGTGTTGATTCTTTCTACCCTCCCGGAGCATTCAAAGCACTTTATACATTCATACAAGCACCATTTCTATCTAACAGTCACACTCAGCATTGGAGAGCAGCTTGGGGTTAGTATCTGACCCAAGGATATTTGACTGGATTAGCCAGGGATTTAACCATCAACCTTCCGATTAGCAGATGACCTGCTCTAGCAGCTCTCCCAGTGTATCTTTGCACTGTGGTAGTCATGCGTCCTCCTTTTCTTATTCTTTTCTGTGCTTTATGGTGGATGGCGCCACCAAAAAGGACCAGGATGGAGCACCAACCAGATAATTACTGTTGCTTTACATTTTTATAATATGTATATTATCGACATATTATTTGTAATAAATTTTGCAGTTACCGTCATTATCCGGTTGTTCAGTCTGACGTCACTAGCCGTGTCTGGGTCTAAACTCCGCTGCAGGTCCATATATCAAACGATCACTGTGGCATTACTGAGAGTTGAAAAACTGTCTAAAGTCTTTCATCTTTAATAAAATGATCAGCGTTCTGCTCTACCAGGTGTAACAATTGAGTTTAACATCCAGGCATCCATGAAAACGGAATTTATGACATTTAACGGAGTTAGAAGTTAGCAGGGAGTTAGCTCGCTAGCTTCTATCTAAATACAATATAGCATGTCCTGACTGCGGGGTTTTGGAAACAAATTCAAACGTACAGCTCTGTTATCACTTCCAACATAAATGAAGACAGAAAACTAAACAGCAGTGACGTTTGTAGGGTTACTGAAGTTGGGCTAGCTGGTATATAATGATGTGCTACGTGACCGCTAGCGACACAGCTATGTTAGCATAATATAAACACGCTAACTTTTTTCCACTGGATAAAAGTTAACGTGAGTGTTCTCGGTGGTCAGGAACAAATGTAATCGCATGGCAGGATGCTGTAAAAGGACCAAACTTCAGCCAGGAGAACAACTGAGATAATCCATCCACAATACGAGGTTAGTCATTCATATACTGCTGCATGGGCTGGGCTGTAGTTACATCCTAAGGTTTTAAAAACTGAGCTTAAATAAATGATTAGCAAAGGGAGGTCAACAGGGATCACTGACTGTTTTAGGGGCTTTTTGAGATTAAATAGAAGAAAATGCATACAACACAACACAAAAGCCATATTAAACTACTTTAGGCCCGGAAGCAGGATTCGTCACGTCATCACTTAACGACCGGATACTGTGACACCTCAACATGAAAGAGTTCAATTCATATGAACAGACTCGTCAGGGAACAGCTGTGTCTCTACAGCCGGAGGCTTTTCTTCAAATCTTTTCTTATGAAGTGGAACCGATCAGTAAACTGTGTTAGTCTAATCACATTAAACCACTTGGTTTACCAGTAACATCCCCTTCAACTACTACTGTAGCATATTTAGAGTTTGTGGCTGTCTCTTTCTCTCTTTACCCAAACTCTGGTTAATGGCAGGTTATTAAATTTCCTCCTGCAGCACTAACTCGACTTACCCGAGCTGTACCTTCCCACAAATGGTGCAAGCCTGACTTCACTCTCAAGAAATGCTAGCACAGACAAAAGGCAGCGGTCAGAAGCATTTTTTCCACTTTGCTTTGCCATGGATCACAGGGTTGAAGACATCTGGGGACTCGCTGTATAAAAGGAAGATGTTTTAGCATATCTGTTAGGATTCCTCATCTCAACAGGGCAAAGCAGGAATATGAACCCAGAGTCCTCCGTCTCAGCTGTAAGGCAGCGCTGATGCTCATTTGTCTGCTCTGAACAGGCAGCGCGTCTGCCAGATGCAGAAGGATGACTCGGTGGTGCTAAAGTATGAAACACATGCTGACAAACACAGGTGGCAAAACTGGAAGCAGAAGAGTGTCCTCGACAGAGGAAAAAGAATACTTACACTAAATCCCACGTGTTCTACATACATGTGAAAAAAGACAGACATGACAAATGAGTGACAGTGACAATACTGGAGTCAGGACCACGAGAGCTGAAAGAACATGGTTATTCCAATCTGCAGCTGTGCGTTGTGACCTGTCTGTATCCACTGAATCACACGAGGAGATCCCCAGCACAGAAAAGCTCAAACATTAGTGACAACAAGATGTAACATTAAGTCAGAAACAGCATGAAAGGATGAGCTGTGGTAGAGGTGGGTTGCAAAATGGCTTGCAGATGCACAGAAACAGCTTGAGTAGCATGGCCTGCATGAAATAACCATTTAGGTACGTTGGAGGGCATCAGCTGAGATTTGAGGACTGTGTGAGCTAAAGTAGCCTGAATGAACTAGTACTATGCTCGACATCGCTATAAAGAGAAACGATAGAATCAGAGGAAACCTCTTCAGTAATAATTTCATCTTCAGCATTAATCCTGTGTTTAAGTCATAATCAGTGGGAACACTGTGTTTTTGGTGGTGTCAGTTCAAATAGTTTTGCTCCCTGATTGCAAAGTTTTAGGAGAACATTTTAAAAGCCTTTTATAGAAATGTGACATTAACGCACTGAATGTTGGTAGGGATTTGGATGAAAAGTTTCCTCAGGCCTGTGCAGGAGCTTTAAAAGGCTCCAGGGTGGGACTGCTTTCCCACTTTGAGCCCTCGTCTTTCACTCTGGGAGTAAAGCACGGAGGCAGGCAGCTGCTCTGAAGGCACACGGGACACAGAAATGACTCTGCAGCTCTCTGACCTGCACCCTGCTGGTTATATTTGATGCACTCCACATTTATTGTGCATATTTTCTGTACACACATTGGTATTTCTGCTGAATGGTAGTGTTGACAGCATACATATTATTTGCACTTTATCTTGTGACACCTCAACATGAAACAGGCGTGAGTCATTAGGGAACACTTCCCTGTGTGTGTTTGGTGGCTACATCCTTTCCTTTCAGGAAAAATAATATAAAAAAAAAAGGTTAAAAGCGTGTACTGTTTGTGTACAAGTGAAAATCGAAACAAAGGCCACAGAACAAAGGGTAACGTCCTGCCACACCTCTTATCAGCATGTCTCTGTGTTGTTCACAATCCCTTTAGATTACAAGTCAAAAGAAATGTTTGCACTGCAAGTATATTATCCCCATTAATAAGGACACAACTGCTCACTGCAGCGAACGCATGCTGATGCTATAAAGCGCACACCTTTATTCCATCGTCACTCACTGGAACCACCACACTGAACCTTTAATCCACTTCACACACACACAGAGCAGCAGGTAAGGAGCCCTACACACTACCATGGAACCAGACTCATCTCAGTGCTCGTGTTTCACCTGCTCTGTCAGGATGCCTCTGGCCCGTCTCCTGTTCAAACACACAGAGCCAATCACAGAGCTTTGCCTAATATGGCTCAACTTTGATTGGTACTAGCAGCACTTGTAATCTAGTCAAGAGCTCCACCTTTTTGGACCAATCTGATAAGAGACACCTGTAAAACAGTCCAGGATGGAGCTGTGGAGATAAATGTACATTTCTTCGTGTTAATATTTTTAGTCTGTAAAGGCTCATTTTGTGTTTGATAGATGTGATAAACAATGAATTCAGTTCTGTTTTCAGACGTTTTACAGGTTTTGATTACCCTGAGCGCCCTGAGCCACTTTACAGCATGAGCCAGCCTCACGTATCTCCGTACCACTCTGCCCTCCCCAAGCACACCTGACTTCTTTACTAACAAAAATGACCATCGGTGAAAAAAGTAAAGGACACACACACACACACACACACACACACACACACACACACACACACACACACACACACAGAAGAATGTCCAATCATCAGTTTGTGTCCTGAACCTCAAGTGCGTTCGGTTTATGCAGCAGGACAATGAAACACACCAAAAAGAAGCTCCACAGGTAGAGCAGGTCATCTGCTAACTGGAAGGTTACTGGCTCAGTCCCTGGCTACTCCAGTCTGCATGCCAACACATCCTTGGCCAAGATGTTGAATCCCAAGTTTCTCTGTGATGCATGCACAGAAAAATGTTCTTGGAGGTTTTAAAGTGGCCAATCAAAGTCTGGACCCAACTCTGACTGAGATGCTCAAACATGACCATCCATGCTTGGAAATCCTCCGTGTGGCTTCCTCTTCCACACCGCTGTGAAAGGCTCGTTGGCAGTTATCATTAAAGCCTGACTACAGTTCACACAACCAGGTGTCAGGTTTAGGGAGCAACTACTTTCACATGTGGCCAGGTAGGTTATGATTCCTTTTGTTCTATAATAAATGTATAATATTAATATTTATTAGATGAAATGACATCTAAGTGTGACAAACAAAACAAAAGAAATCAGGAAGCGTGTGAACAATGTTGCTTTCACACAGAATAAACTTGGAAAATGCAGAATATTTAACATAATAGACGATGGCAAAGGAGACTGGCAACATACATGGTAAGAATATGGATGATAAAACAGATTGTGGATGGACAGATCTGCCGTGGAATGTCCCTGTGCACTGACCACAGCTTTTTACAGTCAGGCTCAATGGGTCCTTTGTGCAGCTGAGCACAGCTGGCCGTCCAGGAAACCTCAGTCCTCACTGCACAGCCCACACTTTCAGAAACACAGACGTCTACACACAGGCCGACTCTTTATTTTGGGATTTACACCGGGAACAGCCCATACACAATAAACCAGATCGGTATAATCAGACACATCAAACCCACAGTGTTCACTCTCAGCATCTGTGTTTAACAGTTTATGGAGCTGACTCCGTTTGCACAGGAGTCCCAGAGCTGCAGACAGAAGATTTTACTATAGTCTGAATACTTAAAGCAGAGCTGAAACACTTTCCCTACATTAGGAAGGGTTAGCATTGCAGTTTTTTGAAAAGCATCTTATTTGAATACAACTACAGCTGCTGAACATAACTGCAGTTCTATGAATATTTGTGCAGCCCTCTAATTTTCCTCTTGGTTACGGGCACACTCCCAAAACACAGTTATAACCAGGAGGTAGGGGAGGTTACACACAAACACATAAAAATGTCACTTTCAGTAGCATTTGTTCAATTCAATCTCTTTTTCTACAAATGTCTGCTATTTATGTAAAATGATGTTTCATGCATCTTTATTACTGTAACTTAGAGCAACACACTTATCACTATTTAAGTAACCAGCTTTTGTTAGTGACCAAATACAATGTAAGAAGAAATAAATCCAGTTTTACTGTCTGTGTATTCCAACATATTTATCCTTCTGATGTATTAAGATCATTCAGCCCAAGCGTGTCACAGTGAAATTAACAGGATTCTAACTCTAAAAGCATAAGTGTCACCAACGTCCACTCACAAATACAGTTAGAGTAAAAGTCGTAAACAAGGCTAGTTTATCACTCTAGTATTACCACCTCATTATTAGACTAAACCTGAGTTGGCCAATGTCTGAAAACATGTCGGTGGTTAATGTATCGATGGGTCCACAGCCAGCTGCTATTGTGCACGTTTTGAATTTGCATGTAAGTCTTGGAAGTTGGTATTTAGAAAATTTGACTATATAGGTCACGCTAGTGTAACAATCTGCTGTATAATAAGGTTCACAAGAAAAAAACTAAACAGAAAAGACCATAGTACCCAGAGTTAACCCCCCCTACACACACACAGACACACACACAGAAGCCCGTTCAGCTATCTTAGTCAGGACCTTCATTGACACAATGCTTTATCTAGCCCCTTCCCCTGACCATAACCTAACTGTAACCCTGACACTAAAACCACATTTTGAGCCTCAAAAATGCTTCAAACTTGTGAGGACCGTGGGTGTGTCCTCACAAGTGACTGTTGGTTCTCAAGTAGAATGCAGATTTCGGTGCTCACAAAGACAGACAGGAACACACACACAGGGCCTATCACAGCACAATAACCTGCAGGCAGAAACTTTAATACACAGACGCAGATTTTCATCAGTGCTAAACCATCAAAAGCTTTTACACTAAAAGACTCTCGCGTATGTAATTTGTAACGCACAGAAAGTCACAATAAACAAAAGTAACTGAAAGTAAGAAAACTCGCAATGAAATGATCAGAGGCGGAGGCCTACGTGTCATACATCTGGTTAACAAAAACAGAAGTATGTCAAAGTAATTTAAGTACCCGCGTGTTCGTGTAACTGAGCATTAAGAGCTAGAAACGCCAAACAATAGTGTGGAAAAGAGCGAGAAAGTCGCACACGGCGCGAGGCCGTATCACATTACAATAACATCAGAGGCTCGCGCTCCCCTTCCTCCACCCCGCCCTCCCCGGAGCATCGCGTGAGAGCAGCAGCCGACTCTCAAACTTGATTGTGATTAATGCGCGAGGGCAAGATATCCATGCCAGATCCAGCATGGAGGCGCATTCTTAAGGTGGTCCTAAAGGAGGAACCCTCACACGCCGTCTCAGAAACACAGCACCACATTTCAGCAAACATTACAAGTACACGGCTTTATAATTACACACAGCTGACTTGGCGATAACGGGAGAACACAGTCCACCTTAACTGGTTTAATCTGTCATTTCCACCACAGGTTAATTTCATAACTTGACAGCGAAGTAACCGAGAGTGTCGCACTTATAAAAGCAAAGCAGTGTTTAACTTCAGTCACCTTTCTATACTGCACAGAGATTTAAAGTGAACTACAAGTTAGTTCCTGCTTACGGCTTTTTGCCCAAAGTGAAGCCTACCGTCACCCTAACGCTAACACGTGTGCTCATAATGTTGTTATCAACAGCGGTAACTGCTATTATTATAAGGTAAACAGTAAAACAGTCAAAAGTCTTACTGTTTGAGGGCGGGCTTCTTCCTTTTCTTGTTCGCATAGGTCCCCGGGTTTCTCAGCATGGTGTCACCTAGTTCTCACAGCCTTTACGTTAGAATAACTTCAGCTCGTTCACTCCTCCACTCCGGGCCTTTCATCCATCCAACAGTCCTTTATTTAGCCTGTTGATCCTAATCCCAGGTTATAGACCTGCCGGGGTCCTCGGAGGGCTGCCGCCGCCTTGACAGCTCCCGTTGGCGGTCACTGTTGCTGACCTTGGTCGGCAGCGCAGTGAGGGTACGCTGGGTAGTGCTGGTAGGTTTACTGAGAGGGGAGCAAATGGAAAAATGTTTGGCACAGAAGTCTTGTGCCGATGTCCAACCCCTCTCCTTTGGATAAACAACGCCGCCTTATCATTATTATTATTATTCAGAGTCACTCGAGTTTTCGTCCTCGCCCTTACACGGGGCGTTTTCAGGAAACGTGTGTACAGTCTGTCGAGACAGCTTTTTAAGGTGGAATGGACTCATTGTGGATGTCGAGAACGTTTGCTTTTGTAACATCCACCATATTTGCGTCTTTTGAGTTGAAAAAAAAGTTATTTATTTGAGGTGTCCGACCAAAGCAGGTCGTGACGTCATGGCCATGGTGGCAGCAATCTGTCCTGGGGACTGTGTCCCCCTATCGCTCTCTCCCTCACTCATTCACACACACACACACACACACACACACACACACACACACACACACACACACACACACACACACACACACAGGTGTGTATATTTCATGTGAGCCAGCGTGGGCAGCTGCAGTGTTTGGACCTTGATTCTTTGTATTGTGCAAGTCAGAGTAACCATTCCTGGTTTTCACTCTAAGAACTCGAGCAGCACATATCACTTTGATTTTATTAAAATTGAACTCTCTACCTATGTTCATGAGAAAACATTGTCTATTTAATTACTTTTACATTATTTCTGTGACTGCGACCGGTGAATGGACCTTCTGTCAGTGTCATTTTTCAAATGCAAATTTCTGTTTGTTCCAGGTTATCACAGAGTTTTTTATGCACAGTTCAAATCCAACCATAGGGCCTGAAAAATGACACAACAACAGCTGCACTTCCTCTAGGCACAACATGAGGCTTGCTGCAGAAGTGAGACAGTCCAGATAAACGATTGTTTAAATGACAGTTTTTAAAGTTACAGTCTTATTCCGAAGGGGATTCAATTCATTTTTCACCTCAAAATTCTACACACAATACTCTATAATGACAAAGTTAAAAATGTGCTTGAAATCCTTGCATATTTATTCTAAAAATATAACCTGAACTTAAGTATTCACAGCATTTGCATATTTTGTTTGAGTATCTTTGCCAGCAATTATAGCCTCACCTTCTTTCAGTGTGATGCTAAAAGCTTTTCACACCTGTTGGCAGTTTGTCCCATTGTTTTTTTGCACAACTTCTCATCTGGTCAGCACACAGACTTTTTTATATATCTCAAGAGGTGTTCGGCTGGCCATTCAAGCAGATTCACAGAGCGGCCCTGAAGCTGTCCTTTGTTATCTTAGCTGTGTGCTTAGGGTCATTGTCCTGTTGGAAAACCTTTGCTTCAGTCTGAGGTACAAAGTGCTGGAGCAGGTTATTATCAAGGGTGTCTCTGTACATCTGAACATTACTGAACTGTGCAAATGTGGAACAAGTGAAGTTCTGTCCATATATTTCCAGATGTATGGTTTTCTAGGTACCATTCAAGATGTTTGTGCATCTGTTTAGTTGAGTCGAAGTCTAGTATTTTATTAGTTTGTTCATGTTAATTTCAGATATTGAACAATTATGTAGGATTGCTTTCTTTCATTTGCACAATATCTCTCAAGTTAGAAATATCCTGTGTCAGAGAGACACTGAAAAACCAGGTCATGCATTTATTACTTCTAGGCTGGACTATATGTTATTATCAGGAAAACTCCAGTTTATCGAAAACATGGCAGAAAGCGTACTGACGAGGACTAGAAAGAGAGAGCATATTTCTTCTATGCTGGCTGTTATGTGGTAGCATCCAGTCTCTCGTCCAAATATGGTCACTTCTGGCTCCAAAAAACTTACATGACTGCAGCTAAAATGACAATAGAGGCGTGGGTAACTTGCACATCTGTGAAGGCACCATTAATGCTGAAAGGCACATACAGGTGTTGGAGCAACATATGCTGCCATCCAAGCAACAACTTTTTCAGGGTCGTCCCTGCTTATTTCAGCAGGACAATGCAAAGCCACAGTCTGCATGTGTTACAACAGCGTGGCTTCGAAGTAAAAGAGTGGCCTGCCTGCAGTTCAGACTCGTCTCCCACTGAATATGTGTGGCACAATATCAAGTGCAAATTAAAGCTGCAAGCAGCGTTATGAGGGCCCTCGCACCCTGGCGTGTCGAGCCACGCCCAAAACCTAATACCAGCATGTTCGATCTGATGTGACATTGATGGATTTCATGCATTTAACCACCAGCTAACATTTCATCTTATTCAACCAGGATTATAGTCGTCCCACTAGGTGGCGCTCTAACCACTATGTACAAATGGCATAACAAACATATCCGAGCTCGAGTCTAATCACACCTACGACCTTTGGGAGAGATTGAACATTGTGTTTTCGAGTGACAGCAGATTACTGCTTTTTGGCGAGTGATTGAAACTCCAAATGCCGTCATGACCACCCCGTTTCCCTGAACGTAAAAAGCTTCGCAATTTAACATCACAAAGGTCTTTAGATTCCACACACAGGAAATCGCATCAATCTGATGAAATCCCTTGGAGGAGTTCGTCAAAGCACGGTGCCTGAAAAGAGGGGAAAATGTCGTCAAAATTACACATTCATTTTAAAATGGCTGACTTCCTGTTGGATTTGGGATTTTGCTCCAAGAGACTTTTTTTGTACATCTTGATATCTCCTATAAGCTTCCCAGATTTCAGACTCATACATAAAACACAGAGCAGGGGCTGATGATTTGAAAGTTTGTAGGGGGCGCTGTGGAGCCATTTTGCGCTATTCAAGGAAGGTGATCACATAACAACAAAGCCTTCGTCCCATTGGAGGTGTGCGCCAAATTTCAAGACTTTTTAAACTTTCCAAGCCCCTCAAAAGCCACTTCATTGTTCACGGTGAACCGCGTTGCCACCAGGGTGCGCCGTTCAGTTTAAAGTCACAATTTTCGCACTGAAGTATCATGAGCAACTGATGGTGATATTCACCGCTTTTGAGGTGGCCACGATGAACCTGTGAAAATCAGTACGACAAAATGAAAGACATGACATTTCCTGTTGCCACTAGGTGGCGCTCTGTGTATTCCCGACAATGGGTACATCAATCTGTTCAGGGCGGGTCTAACATCATGCCTGTAAAGTCTGGTACTGAACAGACTGGATTTCATTGAGTTATACTAATTTGTTTCTTCATGGCGTGACATCAAAGTTCGCCATGCTGCTGGGGTCACACCCTTTCGCGAAAACTCACAGTTTTCACTGTAACCCAAGACCAACTCCTTAAGGCTTTCCTGGAGAAATTTGAGGCTGCAGATGTCACCCATCACAATACTGTACCCCAAAGTGTAAAACATGACATTTCCTGTTCCCACTAGGTGGCGCTGTCCTTGATGTCAAATATGGCAGTTGAAATATGTTCAGGGGTGGAGCCTTATCATATGTGTTCACTTTGGTCAAGGTCAGAAAATGTATGACAAAATGAGAGGCAATAAGATTTTCATGGCGAGTCATCGAAATTCGCCGTGGCGCCACCGCCACACCGTATCACGAAAACTCAAAAGCTCCGCAATTTAACATGGCCCAGGTGTGTAGTTGACACTGACCAAACATGAAGCTTATACGACCAAATCCCAAGGAGGAGTTTGAAAAAGTTCGAGGCATGGAAATGGCAAAATTAGAGCCAAAATGTCACCTTCACTTCTAAATGGCGGACTTCCTGTTGGGTTTGCATCAATGGGCCCACAGACTTTTTTGTTTGTCTTGGCATGATACACATGTGTGCCAAATTTCATACATGTAGCCCAAACGATGTGGTCGTAGGGCTGCATTTAACAAGGCATAGGTGGCGCTCTAGAGCCATTTCCCAGTGCTCATATGTAAAACCATTAAAATACAAAATTTTTCACGAGACCTGGCATGTGTGCAAAATTTCATGAGTTTTTGAGCATGTTTAGGCCCTCAAAAAGGCCCTTGTTATGCCTGAATAATAATAATAAGAAACGGAGCAGATACAATAGGGCCTTCGCACTCTCGGTGCTCGGGCCCTAAATATGGCAAAGGAGACCCAGGACTGTTGAGCAACTGAAGTTGTACATCAAGCAAGAATGGGAAAAATTGATGCTTCAACAACTGTAGTGTCCTCAGTTCCCAAACATTTACTGAGTGTTGTTAACAGGAAAGGTGATAAAGTGGTCAGCAGGCCCCGGTCCCAGCTTTTTTGGAACGTGTTGCAGGCATTCAATTCAAAATGAGTGAAGATTTGCAGAACAACAATAAAGTTTATCAGTTTGACATATCTTGACATATCTTGACATTTGACATATTTCCATATCTTGTCTTTGTGGTGTGTTCAATTGAATATAGGTTAACAAGGATTTGCAAATCATTGTATTCTGTTTTTATTTAGTCTAACACAACGTCCCAACTTCATTGGAATTCTGTACTATTGAAATTATACCATCATATTATATCATATTAAATATTGAAGTTAAATGTGAGATGACTGGGCCACACAGTGTCTGCAAAAACATCTAATCTGGTCTTTAAGTCTGATGTCATTAGCCATGCCTGGGTCCTAAACTCCGCCCTCTTCAGGTCCCAAAGGTCCCAAACGAACACTGCAGCATCACTGAGAGTTACAAAATGTCTAAATTCTTTCATCTTTAATAAAATTATCAGTGTTGCTGCTTTACCAGGTGTAACTACTAAGTTTAACATCCAGGTTAACATCCATATGTTATGCTGTTAGCATAACATAAACACAGTGAAGCTGGAGGATGAACGCTAACTTCCTCCCCTCGATAAAAGTTAACGTGAGGGTTCCTGATGGTTAGGGACAAATGCAATCGCATGGCAGGATGCTGTAAACGGACCAAACGTCAGTCAGGAGAACAACTGAGATAATCCATCCTAGGGTGACCAACCGTCCTCTTTTCCCTGGACATGTCCACTTTTCACGTTCCGGGATTTTCGAGATTGATAAAAATGTCCGGGTTTTCCTATATTCCGACAGAGGACCCATGTATGTGACGTCCCCAAACGGCTGCTTTATGAGCGCTTGTTCTGTGCTCACAGACGGGACTCACAGCGCGCAGCAATGCGCCTAATGATGTTTAAAAGATCCCAAAGCGCAAGTGCATCTTTTCAGATGTACATCTTTTTGAACTGCAAAAGAAATTTCCCGATGGCCGATGTGTAAAAATAACTCAGTTGTTTGGTGGTGGCTATGGTGGAGCTTCCACAGAGGCC